GCAACAGTCGGGCCGGAATTAAAAAATCCTATTCATTTTCTCCATATAGGAAATAATTTTAATAATAACTTACAAACCATAAAAGGCAGACCTACTGTGCTTTTGTTGAAGCCATTAGCCCTCTTTTTTTTTAAATAATCATGTTTAACAGTGGAATCCTTGGTGAAAAACTACACTACCCATGAGTCTGCATATAAATCAGATCAGAAAAATCAGATAAATGCAACAAGCAAATCTTTAGTGCCGACTCACTCCCATGAAGCACTGTGAATGATAATCAAGTCAATCTCCCTACACTCTGAAACGATTTAAATATTTCTATATAACAAATATTTCATAGAATGTCTCTATATATATTCAACATGTTTCTTTTGTAATTTGAATATGTTGAATATGTACTAATTTGTTTGAATATGTAGTTCTTTCCCTCATTAAAGCCATTAAATACAGTCTTGTGCCTTTACCTTTTTGTCTGATTTTTAGATTTCTTTGCTTTAAATCAAAGTTTGTAGTGTAGCGATTCACCTGGTTTCTCTTTTTCACCTAGGCTTTTTGAAATACATGAGAAAAATTAATGGGAAAAATGCTTCCGGAACCAAAACCGTCAAAAAAGTGGATGGCACTGTTGCACTGGATGAGCTCGACTGTTTGCATGGTTAGGATTTTACTGTCTTTATGAGTGAGTCATTGAATCGTTACTTCAACTGGTTTGTTGAAAAATGCTGATTCATTTAGGAACGAATCAAGACTTTGTGAATGAGTCATTGAATTATTCACTTGATTTGTTTAAAAACACTGACCTGAATGAACTGTTGTATACAAGCAGTATCACACAATTGTACTGCCTTTTCTTTTTTACTCCAATAACTTCTCATGATAAACGACCCAAAGTGTCATTGCTAATTCTAACTAGACGCTTTCAAATTAGTAATGGAGGCCTGGACTCATCTTTTCAACTAGCAACGGCAAGAAAGTACAACACACAAGAGAGTCTTTGGGACACTCCTTAGTTTCTTCTTGTTTATTTACATACTTGCAGGAGTGTGTTGCTGTGCTTTTGCTTATGTGTGATGGCTATTGCTTTAATAAGCCTTATCTTATGAGTAGCTTCAAACCTATCATCTTTCCTTGTTATTTTACATGTAAACATAAATCAATGGGGTTGCGACTAAAAATAAGTCAGCTCACTTCTGATAGCATGATGAACAGCAGTGAAAAAGCTATGCCAAATCCACATAATCAAATCCAACTAACCCATTAATTGTGTTTAGTTAAGACAGCAAAGTAAATAGACTTAACAACTTTTAAAAGGGAGTAGAAAACATTCCCTATCGTTTTTTTTATTGGCGTCAAATGTTTTGCGTCCAATCAAGCTCTATGGTGTTCAGATTCTCTTGGCAGAAGCTACAAATATTTGCTCCAGTGTTTATTCGTGTGTTAGGCTGGTAAATTACACTTCTGTTGTGTTTATACATTTACAAAATTGTTTTTGCATTTGCAAACATCTTACCATATGAAACACCAGCCTTACAATAAGCTAAAACCAAACAAGACATCTTTTAAAAATGATTTATGGATGGACCAAAAATAATGTTTTTAGAAGCATGCAGGGAAACATACAGTATAGTATTTCCATGCCGTAGTTGGTTAAAAAACGATGTTTGGAGAACGTTCAGCTGGACAGGGATCTGTAAGGCCGTGGACAGAGCCATCTGCTGTGGCTCAGGAACACAAAGCCATACAGTGACTTCTGATCTCAGTGCCAATGAGACATTGTTATGGCACTGTTTGATTCACTGTCATCATCTGACCAACTTCAACAAGCTTGAAAAAATCTATTACAAAGAATAGGCTGACATTATTAACAAACTGTATATACAATGATGGCAGTTAACCCTAAAATCTTAATGTAACAATTTTTCTCAGCGATATTAGTCTATTTGTTTTAGGTTTTTTTTTCAAGTCAGCAAGTCTTTGAATATATTGTAAGGCACTATACAGTAATTATACTGTATATTATACAATAAAAAATACATTAAAAAGCAAGAAATGTTCCAAATGCAACCCAACTGACTGTTGGGTCATATAGTCCACTGTGGAAATTGGAAATTAATGGGGGCTTGGGGTACAAATGCCACTGAAATTAGTAAAAAGGGCTCCAAAATTGAAATGTAGTTTTTGTTCTTTATATTTACAACATATAATATAGTTAAGCAATATCACACAAGTGCTGTTTTTCCTAAATATCAGCACAATCAAAAATGTTACATTGATTCAACCATTTTTAACAAATTGGTAAAGTGAATGATTCAATTTAAAGAAATTTAAAGTGACCAATGCCCTACAGACTTTTCGACTAAACAGACACCTTTAAACATATTTTCAAAACCGCATACGACACATTTAACACAGAGCAAAAAAACATGTTTTCCTCCATACCTGTAATAACGTTAGGTAAGATAAACTAGCTAAGTTATCTAGCTAACTAACTACAATTGACTAGCTGCTTAAATTTGAGTTAAGGTTGACTAGCCTGGCTAGCTAAGATAAACCAAAGGTCATTGAAAATAGTTTAATATTAAGTGGCTAAATGAACTAGCTAGTTAAAAATAAACTGTCCTTTGTTGTATTGTACACATAGCCACATTTCCAGTGTTAACAGAATGTTCATTGAAAGTTATCTGGTCCTTAATAACATTACATAATGTAAAAATAAATTATTTATACATCATTCATTAAACATTTTTTTTTCCCAGAACATTTTTGTTCTTATTTTAGAATGTTTACAAAACATTTGCACATACAGAACAAATGCTTTTAAAACATTGGAAAAAAAAAGACATTTGAAATGTAATTTCTAAAATGTGTAATTTAATTTTAAAACATACTTGGCAGGTACAATAATCGATTTATTTTTCCCTTAGTGACAGAATTACCCAATGTGTGATTTTATGTTTATTGTCAGATGACAGTTACATATTTGATTAATGTTACATCGTTTACACGTTTCTCAGAGATTTTTTTTAAAACAGTTAAACAAATTCATAGGTGGGTTTTTTGCATTTGTGCAACAGTAAAGAACTTAAAATAGAATAAATACCCATTTGTAATCAACAAAGCTTTCTACACTCTGTTCTGTTGATTATAATGGGTCCTATTATCCTGAGGTGTTGAATTGAGCTGCTCACTTACAGTATAGGCATGGTTCAAACTGTGCCAAGCACTAAAGAACTTTCCACCGATGTAAGATTGACAAGCAATTTACTGAAACATGAGGACAGGTGCATCTCGGGTGCACACACACATACACATGAACAAGAAAATGTTTGGTGTCAGTGTAAAAATGTTGAACACTCAAAATGTGTGTATTTTCCATTTAGTTTCCCATGTCCATTCCACACCATCTCTATGCATTTTAATAAAGAATTATTGAGAATTAAATTGCCTCAGGCTCTAACTGTTAATATTTTAGCTCTTTACCCACTAGGGGTTGCACCGACTAATCGACTTGTCGACTTCAATGCTCTGCCATGACGCTTTAAGCTTGACGTCGACTAGTCGCTGGTCCTATAGAGGGCGCAACAGGATAAGAAATCTTTGAAGGACTTCCACATTTACACTCGTTTCCAAACAGTTAAAATGACAAATAAATGCATACTCTGAAAGCGGTCCACAAGACATGTGTGATTATATTACTGGATGCTCGAAATTGAACGGGAGAATGCACGTTTTAAACAGCTTATTGTACAGGTAAGTTAATCGCCGTTCTAATCTAATGCGCTGCTGCACTGTAACGCACACACATAGGCTACAGACAGTAGCGCGTACATCACGCGCACAGAATCATTCAGCGCGGAAATGTATTGTCAACACTGTTCTGTGATTTCTCAATAAAATAGCTTAGAAACTGAAAAGTTCAAGCATATATTTCTTAATAACCAAATCCCACAGCTTCACTTCTAGTAGAGAGACGCTGCCAGGTAGAATTAATTCACACACGCAATCGCTCTCACTAATGCATTCATATGAATGTAATCTTTACTGTGCTACTTTATCTGTATCTGATTTAGAACGAGCAGAAATCTGTGAGAAATATAACGACATAAACACAAAAGAACTGATAAAAATGAGCTGTTATAGGAGCAACAGCCATGTGGGCAGCGCTGTGTCATATGCCATAGCTGTGCACAAGGTGTTCGAGTCTCAGCTCCAGACTTATTTGTTCATTAAGGACGTCATCAGGGACTAGTCGACTTCGACTCAACTTACATCACATAAAAGTCGACTTTAAAAAATCAGAAGTCGTTCAACCCCTATTACCCACTAGTGTCCGGATTCAGAGCGATGATGAAAATTGAGATGAAATAGATAGCTTCCATCAAACGCCCAAAGCTTGCACAGTCCTATACCACTTCCTGGGTCAAATTTTTACTCGATAGCGTTAGGCAGTGTTGATTTATGCTGTTTAATGTTCGATGACTGCATTATTTTACGTATGTATCTGCTTACATATGTTGCTTCTTCTTCAACATGTTTTGATTCAGAGATTCAGTACTCTTTCAGAAGATGTGTAATAGTGCCCCCTACTGTATAACAATGAAAACACATAAAGCCGGAAAATTCTGTCATTGGTGGGGAAAGGGTTAATCATCATTAATCTATACATTTTGCACTATAAAGTTGCTGTATCTGCTGTTTCCAAAAATTGTATATTTATCTTTTAATCTAAACAAACTTGCAATATTCAATGAAACTCTGAATTTTCACATTTTTGAATGAAAAGTCAATATGAAACGCAGTATGACATTATAGAGCTAAGATAGTATAACCAACTGTTTATAATTTGATGTTTCGTTGGTTTACTGTCTTCATTCTAATGTTACTGAACACAAGAAATTAACATCAAAACTGAGACAATTGTGATTTTTAATTAGTAAACTGGCCCAGTGGAGGGTTTGATGAAAACTTATGCTAATGCATTTTTTTTCCTCTGGCTACAGTTGACAGCTGAAGTTCATTTGTATGCCGGTGAAGAATCCCGAGAGACAGAAGAACCTTCTGAGCTTGAGCTGTCAGCAGAGATCATGAGGAAGAGCCGGAGCGTCTTGGCAGTGACACCTAGTGATGTGAGACATTTTACTGTTGTGTTTCAACATGAATAGAAGATAACGCTATGCAGTGATTTTTTTTTATTCTGCCCCCCAGTACACACAGAGGTCCATGCCATTTAGATGTTTAAAAAATCGCTTCTTGTTTTTCTCCTAGTTTGCCCTTTATATGTTTCACACTTATGAAGCAGCCAGGTTTTCTCTGAAATATTTTGTTCTTCGATTTCTACAGAAAAAAAACAAAAAAAAATCAACAAGCTCTAGGCAAGCGTGTCTACAAGAACATAAACAACCAATTAACCACACACACAAACCCACATACGCACACACATAATATTAATAGCTATTTATGAGGGACGTGAGAAAAGATGGCAGGCACCATAAAACCTCGACAGAGGAAAGAAGGACAGAACAGAGTTGAAAAAAAGGCCAGTCATTCATTTGTCTTCTTGATGTTTTTAATTACCTGAACTCGGTTGGTTGTAACCAAATTAGGCTTAACATTTTACAGTCTTTGAATTCTAATTTACATAATATGAATTAAACTCTTCCGTTTAAAGGTGAAGTGTGACAATTTTTCCCCCTTAATATTTATTCTTAGTTAGGATTAGGGTAAGTCAGCATAGAAACAAAGAAATGTTTCTACCCATTTACCCATTTTACTTCCAAAAACTGAGGTGAACTTGATTTTGTCCATTGGAAAGTGATTGGATTATTAAAATTGACTCTATGACAGGTGGTTGTAGTGTAAAGCTTAAAAAGTTATAGTGCTTTGTGATGTTGGATTGTCGTGTCAGTGATACAGATCACCAAATAATAATTAGGATTGTCACTATACCAAATTGTTATGAATTGATCAAAACCTCACAGGTTTCATAAAAGACCTTAGTCAGGGTGGACGTCATATTGAATTTAATGCGGACAAAAAAAAAGGCTATGCAGGATAGATTTAGTCTTTACAATGGCACATACTGTATAGAAGTCCTAGATCATGTCATTTTCACAACTCACAAGTTTTAAAAATGTTTTATGGAGTTGTTGTCTACTGACGTTTCGTTATTAAACTATAGTACAATCATGGGCGGACTGGCCATCTGGCATATAGGGCATTTTCCTAGTGCGCCGACACACTTTGGGGCTGATACTTTGGCCCATCATGCAGAGACAGTGGCACATTGGTTTGTCTTCTGTATTGACAGCATTAACTCAATCGCAATGCGCCATAGACGAAAACCTATATTGCAGCTGTTCCCAAAGCGCCACCTTCTGGCAGAGAGTTAATTTGCATTTTTAGCATAATTTCACAAAGCTAAATTTTGTTCATGTACTCTTTCATTCTTTCTTGTCTCTTGCTTAAAAAAATCAGCAATTGGTTTTAGAATCACCCCACTTGCTGACAGTTGGAATCGGCCATGAAAAATCATGATTGGTGTATCTCTAGTTTTTGTAGATAACCTAAACTACTGGTTAGTTTCCTCAAACAGTCATAACTTTGACAATTAACAGCAAGTCAAGAGCGATTGAGTACACTGGTCCACTTAAACGTGTATACACAGTATATATACACTCACATAAACAAACACAATGTTATTATGTACCTGGTATTACCTATGTTATAGGGTCCAAATGTGTGTGTGTGTGTGTGTGTGTGTGTGTGTGTGTGTGTGTGTATTTTGAATGGCAGTGTGTATATATGGGTGCTGTCTGACTGGACAGATTCTGATCTTAGTGATGGGTCATTTGGATCAAAAAATACCAATTTGTCCCAGTCCAGCCCTGAGTAAAATCCATTCAACACACTGTACTTCTGTCCCTCACAGCCTTGTTTTCATCCCTGTCAGAAATTAAATATGGCGCTACCATGACTAAGGTCTATTCTCAATATCACCAAATAACAATAACTCAAACTAATTAACAAATTAATGATCAGAAACAGTTATACAACTACTATAAGTATATCCACCCTTAACCAGATGCATTCAGTACATTCATGTTAAGCAGTATGTACTATAAAGCAAATCTCTTGATAGAGAACACTGCTTGATAGTTATATTGTCAAAAACTGTAAAATATAGTATCGTCCAGTGATATATTAAAAGTAATAGAGAGAGAGAGTGTACATCCTACCATACATACGTGTACTCATAGAAAGCGCAGCTTTCTTATATGCTATATAGCAAATCTTGGCTGCATGATTGTTTATATCATCACTAAAGGTAAACTGTATTATTGAACAACTTGTATATATAAAATTGAATAAAAATTATATCCAACTTTATCCAGATCAATATAGAACACTCATGTAATGTGATGCCACTATATATATATATATATATCGCAAATCGCAACTGCCTGATGTTTGATTTTGTCACAAAAAGGAACTATTATTGCTCAGCTCTTTATATAAAGTTAGATATACCATATATATATACACAATATAGCAAATCTTAACTGATTGACTTGTATTGTCGCAAAATTTAAATCATATTATTGTCTGGCTCTAAATGCGACTAGATGGTATGAAGATATTATAATCATTAACGTCATGATTTTCTTTAAAGCTGGTTTGAAGCAATGTGTATTATGAAAAGATCTATACAAAATGTTTTTCATTTTTTCAGTTTTCATTTTGTGTTGAATTTATTGTGCAGAGACAGCTGTATATTGATTTCTCAGAAGAGTGAAAACACTGTCGCTTAGTGACGCTTTCAAGACATTGCTCTGTTTGTTTAAACAACCTGAAACTTCTGTCTCAACCAAAGGCATGATTTTGACACGGAACGAGCAGTTTGTCTGAATAATGGTTGGTGGTGCTTTAGTTGGGCGGAAGCAGCAGTGAAAGTGTTTGTGTAAACGTTTTTTTGTGTTTTTTGTCTTTGAAAAGTAATAAAAGTCTGGTCTGAGACATTGTTTGATTGAGTTGGCAAAGTCATAAAACACCCTCAAAGTTCTGGATTAGGCTCCTGTACTTAGAAGAACAATACCTTCACTTCTTCAATAGTCTATTGGCAAGTACACATGCACAATGAAGTGAAATAATGAGGCTGATATTGATTGTCTGTCAATAAGCTCTCACCTTTCTTCACTAGCACTCAATGAACGCTCGACACTCACCTCTCCTGCCTATGATTAACATCCACCTCTGAATTCCTGCTCAGTCTGTGGCAGCAGCCCTCTGTAACCCTCTTCATTGAAATCCTTCTCCAGAACAAGTGCGTCTGATTACTTACTGAGACTTTCTCAGCCAGGAGTGGAGCCTGAGTTTGAGTTTTTCTGCCACTTTCTGGATGTAGAAAGACTGCAAATATACCCATTTTTAAAACACGCTGTTCAATTATTTCACAAAGAATTACAAAGGAATAGAAAGCAATACATTAAATTAAACATGAAATTTTGAAGTGGAAAGGCTGAGATAGTATTTTCTCGATTTTCACTTTTTTCGAGATTTTCACTTTTTATGATTGAGAATTTGAGTGGTGCTTGCCTGTGCATAAGTTGCTGTACTAGGACAGTGTGGATGGTTTTTATCACATAGTCATGCAGTTGCTGGGCTGGTTGCCTTTTAGTTCAAGCCAATAAAGTGTCAAAGGTGTATATGCTGTGAAGATTTGTGATGCTAAAATGTTACAGAGTTGTTGTCAGAGTAAGTGTAGAAAATTTTTATGATTTATACAGTAAAAGACTAAAAATGCTACAACAAATATCTGTTATTTAGTTAACTCTAAATTACCTTACCATATAGCTACCATGGCAAATTTTACTGTAAAATACTGTCAAATTTGTAATTTTGAAAAAAAATTAGGTGAAAAAGAGTAAAAAAAAAAACAGTAAAAGCATGATACGTCATGTATGCTTTTCCCCCATTTTTGTTATCTGCATTGTACATTATGGTATTTTGTGTTACATTTATTTAGTTAATGTTTATTGAATTATTTTAGTGTCATGTGTGTTACTCTTGGCCATTTTTTCAGAACTTATGCTGAGCTCTGATTCTTCATGCGAATTTCTGTTGTACCACCTATATTTTTATGGTAGTTATCTGTAAATTTTTGGATGCAAAGCAGATTTGTGTAGTTCAAGTATCTTGGTACAGTAAATTAAGTCGAGTCACATTTATTTCTATAGCGCTTTATACAATACAGACTGTTTCAAAGCAGCTTTACAGTAATAAACAGGAAAATAAGAGAATTAGTGTTAGTGCAGAATTCGTCAATTATGAAGCTAATTGAATTTTGGCTGTAAAGCAGCTCTTTAGAAGATAATGGTGTCATTATTCAGCTCAATTTAATTCATTGTTGATTAATTTAGTTCAATAACAGTGTCACTGTTACAAAGTTCATCAGTTATGAAACAAACTCAATGCAACTATAAAGAAGCTCTACAGGAGAGAAGGTAATAGTGTCATTATTCAGCTCAAATCCGTTCAGTGTTGATTCATTTCCATTCAATAGCAGTCATAAATTATCATAAATATCAATAATCATAAATTATATATTTTATACATTTTCGTTGTATCACTTAATGAAATATAACTTACAAGTTGTGAAATATACAGATACCAATATGCCATCCTGTAATACTTGATACATTGTCACTATATTTTTGCAGTGATCTTCTGGCAACCACAGCTTGTAGTTTTTTTTTTTTTTTGCACGTTGGTTACTGTAAACTTAACAGGAAATTCAATATTTAAATATTTGTGCAATTTGAACTTTTGCACTTTGTGTTTGGTTTCAGCATCTGAGACAAAAATAAAAATGGTCAACTGATATGAGTCCATGTTATTTGTTAACAGCCAGAGTAGGTTGCATGTCCGCCGCGAGCTGTATTTGTCCAATCAATGTTATTGACATTGTAAATATGCAAAAATAGGACAGCAGTCCAGTGTACAGTGTGAAACAATTTCAAGTGTGAATAGCCCATGTGATGTTCTGAATGAAATGCACCAGTGATAATAATATCTAGAGCTACTTATGCAATGCATGTTTCAAAGAACAAACAATTATTGGTCAGTTTCTCACTTGACAGATATTAAAACATTTGTTGGCTGGTTTTAGTGACTCTCATTGACTCAGAGGCATATGACTGCAGGAAGGCAGGGGAACATAGAGGACATGCTGTCCATCTTTTCCTGTAAGCTACAGGAGAGAGTCTGTTTGTCTGATGCTCATGATCTCTTAGGGCTTTATTGATTTGTGCATTAGCGCTTTCCCCAAACTGCAGGGCTTAAAGTAACACCATTGTTCCATTCTTTAATGGGCAGGCACATTTTTCCCACTTCAAATATTTGAAGTGGATTTTGTGAGGTCCAAAGGAAGCCAAGCATTGGTTTTCCAGTCATACCCAAACCACTCAAGACCCCACCCTCCCCTCGCTGAGCTCTGGCCATACGTGTTTACTGACAAGCCTTGTAGCTTAACCCTCAATCATACTCATTCTTAAAGGAGTCATAGTGGTTGCCATGGTAACCGATCCTCCCAGCGATCGGCCGGTCTCTATTTGTTGGCTGGTTTTAGTGCTGGGAATGTGAGGCTGTGACTCTCATTGACTCAGAGGCATATGACTGCAGGAAGGCAGGGGAACATAGAGGACATGCTGTCCATCTTTTCCTCTAAGCTACAGGAGAGAGTCTGTTTGTCTGATGCTCATGATCTCTTAGGGCTTTATTGATTTGTGCATTAGCGCTTTCCCCAAACTGCAGGGCTTAAAGTAACACCATTGTTCCATTCTTTAATGGGCAGGCACATTTTTCCCACTTCAAATATTTGAAGTGGATTTTGTGAGGTCCAAAGGAAGCCAAGCATTGGTTTTCCAGTCATACCCAAACCACTCAAGACCCCACCCTCCCCTCGCTGAGCTCTGGCCATACGTGTTTACTGACAAGCCTTGTAGCTTAACCCTCAATCATACTCATTCTTAAAGGAGTCATAGTGGTTGCCATGGTAACCGATCCTCCCAGCGATCGGCCGGTCTCTGGACATACATCCATGTATATCTTTATTTCTCTTTTATGTATTTGTTTACTTATTTATTTACTGGATCAATGCCTATGGGCAGCCTTATCCTTCTTCACCATGTTTCCCTCAATTCAGTGAATGAAAATATCTAATTTTCTCTCTGGGCCTGATTTTTTTCTCATTCAGTGCAGAGCGAAGCAGCCTTCAGGGCTTTAATGCGGTCTGAGCTGAGTTGGCGTCGCTTGTATTGCAATGGCTGTAACATCTGTAAAGTGTGACATGATTATTAGATGATACTTCATACGCTTCTCATGGGATTCCCCTTTCCTTTCAATTAATTTCCCCTCCAATAATTGACTGGGCCTTCTAATCCACACGAAGCCATTTTTACCTATGACCTTCCACTGTTACCCAGTAAAAAACATTTTGTTTTAAATTTGTTCTGTTGCTTTAAATTTCACTGTATAACAGATTGTTCAAGATAGACCCCAATATTATATTGTATTATATTACATTACAATACATTATATTATATTATATTATATTATATTATATTATATTATATTATATTATATTATATTATATTATATTATGTTCCTATTTTAGGACCATACAGTTTTTTTCATTGTGACATTATTTACATGAAAATTAATGTAAATCATTATTATCATTCTTAAAGATAATTGTCATTACTTTATAATATACTTTATTTATTTATCTATTTATTCATTCATCATTTACTTACTTACTAATTTATGAATGAATGAATGAATGAATCCAGTGCAGCTTTCCAGTCTTGGAAAATGAGGGGGAAAAACACCTAAATGTTTTAATACTTATTTGTCCTGAAATGGTTTTCATCAAAGAATCCATTTTTTTCAGAAATATTAAGCAGCAAAAGCTGTTTTCATTATTTGAGCACCAATAATAATTGCAAATAGTTGAGCAGCAAATCAGCATTCTAGAAAGAGTTCTGAAGGATCGTTTGACGCTGAAGACTGGAGGAATGATGCTGAAAATTCAGCTTTGCGTTACAGAAATAAATTACATTTTAAAATATATTCACATAGAAAACAGTTATTTTAAATTGTAATAATATATCACAATATTACTGTTTGTACCATGTTTACCATAAATGGGTATAATAATTTGTATAATAAAATTTTAGTATATTACCATTATGTATACATACTTTAGAATTTAAATAATACATAATATGCATAATAAAATAATACATTTTTAGTTACTAACCATTAAATAAAAAATGCTGTAAACTAAAACATAAGTTTTAAAAAATCCAGACGCATTACAGTAATGAGAATTTTGAATGAAAATGACCCTTGGTCCTGTAATAGAGTTTTCTTCTTGTAAAATCAAATGTTTTTATTTGTTTCCTCTGCCTTTGGGATGAAATATGACCCAGACTTGTTCTAGACTGGTTTCATGAGATTCACCCAATTACTGCCGTTGTTTTCTGATACGGCTCTCCATCAAAGTGTCAATACATTTCCCAGAATTATAGCCAATCCTAAACTCACGCTGACCAGTCAAACAGAAGCAGTAGCTGTTTTGTCTCTCCCTACTCAATATCTGGATTCTCATCAGTTAGCTATCCCAATCTACAGGCCGTGCTCGAGGAATTCCTGGTAACACTCCTCTCTTCTGGGCAATTCTGATTGAGCTATAAACATATTACAAGGTGATATATTCAGTCTTCTGCTATAGGCTGTTAAGAAAGGATGTTGTCCAGCGACTCCACTGACAGTGATATGCAATCACGCTGAGGGAGCCAGCCGTTAAACACTCTGTATCTATAAAGAACTGTCAGGAGATAGAGTCAACATGCTAGAGCAGTAGAAACTGAACAGGGCTCTACATCAGTCACGTAGCGTAAATGAGAGGCTCACTCCCTAGAGTGCCATATATCACCCAAAGCTTCACTGACATCAACCTGAACAAACAGTTTATGGGCTGAGCTGATTGACAAAGTCCAGTACAGGTTCCCACACTTGTATGTTTGTATTTTTATGTGTAATAAACAAATTTCGAACAGAGTGCAAAAGTGCAGAGTTTTCTTTTTCATGAAAATGATGAAACAAATAATGCACGATTCAACAATTTCCTGCTTCTGCATAACAAATTCATCATTACTCCAGTCTTCAGTGTCACATGATCCTTCAGAAATCATTCTAATATGCTGATATCTAATATTTAATGATACGCTACCATTCAAAAGTTTGGGGTACGTAAGATTTAAAAAAAATAATATTTGACACAAAAGTGACAGTAAAGGCAATCAAAAGTTTTCTATTTCAAATAAATGCTGTTGTTTTCAACTTTGTATTCATCAAAGAGTCAGTTTTCACAAAATATTAAGTAACAAAATCTGTTTTCATCATGATAATAATAAGAACTATTATTAATATTTGAGCACCAATAATAATTGATAATAACCGAGAAGCAAATCAGCACATTAGAATGATTTCTGAAGGATCATGTGACACTGAAGACTGGAGTAATGATGCTGAAAATTCAGCTTTGCATCACAGGAATAATAATATTTCACAATATTACTGTTTTTACTGTATTTTTGATCAAATAAATGCAGCTTTGGTGAACTTAAGAGACTTCTTGGGTTTATCTGTTCTATTTTGTGTGAAACTGGATATTCAACAAGAGGAAATAATGTAAAATGGGACTTGATTTTATCCATCAGGAATTCATTGGATTGTATATATATTAGGGGAAGGGTAGTTGATCATACAGAAGCCAAGCATGTTATTAAAACTTGATGAAATATTTTGTTCTTTGGTATGACAAACCCTAATAAATCATTTAAAATTAAGACCTGGAACCTGGATTTATTATGAAAAGGGTCAATTTTGATTTCATATTGACTCAGTTGTAGAGTGTATGCGTGAACACACTGCATAATTCTTGCATGCATTATTTCATTAGTTTATTTATGTATTAATTTCCTGATGAGTTAATTGATTGTACGTGATCATACTGTATGCAGGTGATGATGTATAGTGGACAGCTACAACATTTCTGCTCTGTTTTTATGATGTTAGGAAAGCAAGGACCTCTCAGCATGTACGTCTTCAGGAGCTACGTTGGGTGTGGATCTCTGGCGAGGCCCCAGACGCCACTCAGGAACCCTTGTGTTGCCGCCGTTGTCATGGAGACAGGCAGAGAGGGCCCGCAGTCCTCAAGAAGATCACGTTTCCAGACCCACGTCACTGGGCTTCATTACTCCACCGCGTATAGATATCACACCAGTGCCACCTGATAGGTGAGCTCAGTGTTAAATCTAACAAATACAACACCAGACTACTGTGTCAGCACATAAACGCTCAAAGATGATTCAAGGTTCAACTTTTAAGTGCTTTATATTTTGTTTGACCAATGAAATCGTCTCGGCTACATATGTAACCCTTGTTCCCTGAAGGAGGGAACGGAGACGTCACGTCGGTAATGACCGACGAATTGGGATCTCAATTCGTCGGTCATTACCGACGTGACGTCGAGAGAGACCGACTGAAAGGGAACCCAAAATATCACTTCCTGAGTCTTAGATACAGAATAGATTATTCACTTTTTGGAACCTATAATGATGTCAAATGCCAAATAGTTGTTTTTTATAGAATTTTGATCTCAATTTCGAATGACACTGCGCTAACCGACTAAAGGCCAGATTTACTAAAAAGGGCAAATTAGCGCAAGAGCGCAATTCCAAAACAACCCCGATGGGCATGGAAATTTCTGCGGGTGATTTACTGACAACGCGCAAAAGTACACAGACACAACATCTCATTTCCATAATGACCAACGCAATCTACCAAGCGCAGCGCAAATTAGCGTAAGGATATGTTCGGATTTCATGTGTTCTTCTGGCATTCCAAATAAATTAATACATGTGGAAAAAATCCCTTCTACCATGTGCTCTTTGTTCTCTGCGGTGCCTCTTCCTAGCAACAATTGCAGCCATTTCAAGTGCAAAATAGTTTAAGACATGTTTTTTGGGCGTTAAATAATGGCGCAAATACCAGTAATTTGATGAGCGCAAACGTTAGTAAATTGCGTTGCGTGATATATTTGAATGTCTCCTCCCATAAATTTTACGTCTCAGGGAAACTCCTACAAATGCATATTCAATAAGGTCAGGTGCAAAAACAATTGTGTCCACGCCTTTTCAGTGCTAATTCTTCACTGCGCATCTTTAGTAAATCCTGACTGTACTATTTTAACGCCAAAAGACGGTTTGCGCATGCGCAATCTGTTAATAAATCTGGCCATAAGAGGTTCATAGTAACACTGAAAATTAATGCTTGTTTTGAGCATAGGAACGTCTATTCATAATCAATTTAAAGTAAATCGATTAATTTTCTCATGAAAATAAAATGTTTTGAATGACAGATTTCATTTTTGTGGGTTACACATTATTTTGGGGGTTTTGCAGGTCTTAAAAAGTCTTAATTATTCCTTCCATAAATTAAGGACTTAAAAGGCCTTAAATCGGAAGAAGGTCGCAAGTTCATATCATAAAGTCATTGCATTAAATGTTGCATGCACTGCAAAAACTGAATATTTTCCTCAGTAATTTTTTGTTTTCCAATACAAATATTTAAACATCCTTGAATCAAGATACATTTGCTAGAGGCGCAACTGAAAAATATGAATTCTTCTTGCTACAAATATCTGTCAGTGGGGTAAAAAAACAATGAGCACATCTGGCAACTGAATGGTGCCGCAGGTGCAGTTCACAGAGCGGTATATATACCACTCGAGGACCAGCTTTCGGTCAGTGGAGCGTTCAAGGTCAGAATGGGAAAAGCTGCTGATTTATAAAGGACAAATTGTGCTGGCACGGTGCCTCAGAACTCGAGTCTCTGAAACATCGCATCTTGTGTGTTGTTCACGGGCCGCTGTAGTGAGTACGTATCAAAAGTACGGTGGCCCAGTAGTGCACAACACAACGAAATTAAAAAAGGAAACATAAGCTCACAACACAACGCAATTAAAAAAGCAAACATAAGCTCACAACAAAACAAAATAAAAAAACAAAAAACAAACATAAGCTCACAACACAACAAAATTAAAAAGCAAACATAAGCTCACAACACAACGGAAATGCTCCTGACCACTAGGGAGCAGTGTTGACAATTAAACAACGATATTTCTTCAAGAAATTCTCAATGTAAGTGATTGATCTTAATATGTGTAATCGATTTTTAAATGAACAACATGTTTTTACTGAATGTTTTGATATCCTGGTAATCTTAATATATCGATTCATGAATCGAGCAGAAAATAAATCAATATTATTTTCGATTTGGACAGTTTAGCTCTGCTCTTGCGCACAATTGCCTTTTCTGTAGACCAACTGCCCCCTAGGGGTCGGGAGCATTTCCGTTGTGTTGTGGCTTAATTTCGTTGTGTTGTGAGTTTATGTTTGAGTTTTTTTTTATTTCATTGTGTTGTGAGCTTATGTTTACTTTTTTATTTTGTTGTGAGCTTATGTTTGCTTTTTTAATTTCGTTGTGTTGTGAGCTTATGTTTGTTTTTTGTTTTTTTATTTCATTGTGTTGTGAGCTTATGTTTGCTTTTTTAATTTCGTTGTGTTGTGAGCTTATGTTTGCTTTTTTAATTTCGTTGTGTTGTGAGCTTATGTTTGCTTTTTTAATTGCGTTGTGTTGTGAGCTAATATTAGCTTTTTTAATTGCGTTGTGTTGTGCACTACTGGACCACCGTATTAAACACCTGAGACTCACATATTTTCTATATCATAACATGGTGACATGTTTTTGCCAATAGAGTACATTGGGATACATAGAGTACATTTTTTTTTTGCGGCGTTGCTTCTGGAATTAATTCCATTCATTTTTTCTCTGATTTAAAAAAAAGTGTTTGTTAAAACATTATAAGCCATGAACCAAGCCAACCAACTAACATTACAAACTTTTATTTGAATAAAAAATCAGTCCAAAAAAGCACAGGCAGTACAAAAATGTCTCATAAAGCATTTTGTTTTTTGTTTTTTTATTTCATTGTGTTGTGAGCTTATGTTTGCTTTTTTAATTTCGTTGTGTTGTGAGCTTATGTTTATTTGTTTTTTAATTTTGTTGTGCACAACACTACTGGGTCACCGTACAAAAGGGGTGCACGGATGGCCAAAATGATGAGCCTTCGTCCAGCCGTGTGTCGTCCGCAGCTCATTGATGCCAGAGGGGAGCAGAGACTGTCACACATTGTTCACAGCGCATTGAATCACCAACAGCGCATGAAATGAGCCGAAGATTATTGAGACTGGACTGTGGATGATTGGAAAAAAAAGTGGCCTGGTCTGATGATTCAAGATTCCTGGTGCATCATGTTGACAGCCGAGTATGGATATGTCGATTAACATAGACTGTAAAAAAAGATGGACAACGCGTCTCCTATTCCTTCCACTATAGAAAAGTGAAGCCAAAGCATCTCAGTATGGCCGCTGCCATCTTGAGTAAATGACGTCATTTGGAGCCCGAGTCTGTGCAGTAGAGATTCGTTTGGAGCCAGAGAGGGCAGGGTTTATGACCTGTACTGCAGCCAGCCACCAGGGTGCGATCAAAGAGCCCGCAGCTTTACTTTTCAGGACGTGTGAGGCACACCTGCTGATTACCAACAGAGGCTATGGCACCTGGATGCACTGTTGGGCAGCGGCGGTGTTATGCTGTGGGCGATGTTTTCTTGGAACACTTTAGACCCCATTATCCCAATAGCACAACCCCTGACGGCTGTCAGGTATCTGAACATCACTGCAGACCAAGAGCACCCATTCATAGCAGCTGTGTTCCCTGCCAGTGATGGCCGTTACCAGCAAGATAATGTGCCATGCCACACTGCTGAAATCATCAAGGAGTGGTTTAAGTAAGATGATGGTGAATTTCTGTTAATGTCTTGTCCTCCAAATTCACCTGAGATGAACGCACTGGAAAAGTGTGTTTGCATTACATCACCACCACCCTGCAATGTATGGGAACTGGAGGACCTGCTGTTGACATTATGGTACCAGATACTGCAGGAGACTATCGGCACCTCGTCGAATCAATGCCTCACCGTGTGGCCACTGTTTTGTGGGCTAAAGGAGGTCCTGCAGGTTATTAGATAAGTGGTCATAATGTAATGGCTCATCGGTGTATATAAATGTGTCCAGTTCACGTTGTTCCCATTTACACCTGATTTGGTTGAATAGATCAGACGCTGTCTGTCAAGACACACTGCTGTTTATACCAAGTGTATCTCTTAACACTGCCTCTCCATCCGCACCTGTCTATCTGTATCAGGTTCAGGCTCCATCTAAACTGGGCCAAGTAGAAATTCCAAGAACATTCCAGCAAGGCGACTCTTGGAAGGGGAGGGTGTGCCGGGCAGAGGCCTGACGAGTAGGCAAGAGGGGAGGATAGAGGGGAAAGGGTAGGACTGAAGCAGATAGTGACAGAGAATGAGTGTGAAGCAGAGTCCGGCCTACACAGCACCACAACACACACTTCTACAGCCAAACCGCGGGATTCAAGGCTTTAACAAACCTCTGCATATGACACTTCCTCATGGATTTAAAACAAGATGCTGACATTTGCCCTGTCAGTCAGAGGATGGAGATCGGTTTGGACACGGGCTGTCAGTCTGATGTGAAAGAACTCACAGCTGGTGCAAGAACACAAAAAACCTGCCCAGGCATGTTCAGAAAGCTGGTGGTGAATAAAACAGTACGCCAACGAAGACGCTTCACTGTGGCTGTGTCTCATACCTGGTAAGACTCAGTGTTTGCAACCTTGTCTGGCTGGATCTTTGCTTTAATTGAGTCTTACTGTGAGTTTGGTCACATCTTATTTTAAGGTCCAATTCTCGCTATTAAAAAAAAACAATTAACTATGATTTTGCCTCAATAAACTCCTAATTTGCTGCTTATTAATAGTTAGTTAGTAAGGTAGTTGTTAAGTTTAGGTAATGGGTAGGATTAGGGATGTAGAATATGGTCATGCAGATATGTGCTTTATAAGTACTAATAAACAGCCAATATGTTATTATGCAAATAAGCACCTAGTTAATAGTGAGCATTGGGCGGGATTGGCAAAGGACCTAGAGATGGGAAGCGAACTCGTGTCGCCGTGAGCACAGTTGTGCTATATGTCGACGCACTAACCACTAGACTAGGCTATCGGCACCGACATACCTAACATACTGAACAGAACATACATACATTACATTCACTTTGATTTGAAGCAAAAGTTGTTTTTAAATGTACTTTATAAA